AACGTCAGCCTCTCTGCTCCTATGATGCTGCTTGGCCTGCTGTGTTCATCCAGCCCTGCACCTGGTTGCCTTGTATTGCTGAATTGTGTTTGATTTTTATAAAACTGTATTTTTTTTTGTTTTGCAGGTAAAGGTAAAGCAACCCAATTTACAGAAGCAGAGGTAAGCTGTGTCTAAGGAGCTCAAATTAATTGTTCTGTGATAAAGGGTCTGCCTAAAATTGTTTATTTCTTTTTTCTTTGATTAAATGAAAACACTGATCCTTGCTCCATAGCAGACTTATTGCAAATTTTCAAATTCATTGCAAAGGGGAGATATTCTTTCACCGTGTGAGACCAGGTAGTTTAACTGCAGTGGTGAAGAAACTTCTCAAAACAACTTTTTGTGACAAAATTAGAGAAAGTGGGTTGTTTAGGATGAGCCAGGATGAATTCCTAAAGTGGAAAACTTGTTTGACTAACTTGCCGGAGGTAACAGAAAGGATTGAGGGTAATGCTGTTGATGGAGTGTACACAGACTTTAAGAATGCATTCGATAAGTGCCACGCAACAAACTTGAGAGACATGTTATTGGTCGTGGAATAAAAAGGACCACAGCAATGTGGATACAGAAGGTATTAAGGGGGAGACAATGGCATTGTAGTACAGTGGACCTAGAGACCCAGGAAATGTTCCATGGTCCAGGGTTTGAATCCCACAGCAGAATTTGAATCCAATAAAATGTGGTATTGAAAGTCCAATGATGAATGCGAAGCCATTATTGTAAAATCCATCTGTTCACTAAGTCCTTGGGGAAGGAAAACTGTCCATCTGGCCTGGCCCAGACTACATGTGACTCCAGACTCCCCACAATGTGGTTGTCTAGTAACTGCCCTCTGAAATGGCCCAGCAAGCCACTTAGTGTGTTAAAAAGTCTCAAAGAAATGAAACTGTATGGGCCACCTGGCAATAACCTAACCACTAGAAATGGCACACCAGCCCTGAGTTCTGAGGGAACATCTGGGATCAGTGCTAAAATTGGGACAGCTGTTTCACAAGCAACAGCCTGACGTAGTCAAGGTCATGGAATTATACCTTACGGACAATGTCTCAGACACCATCATCACCATCCCTGGATATGTCCTGTCCCATCAATAGGACAGACGCTCTGCTAGGAAGTTGCCCTGGGAATCCCTGACAATGAGTCTGGACATCATGAAGTGTCGTGGCATCAGGTCATACATGGGCAAGGAAACAACGTTCTGATTACCATGTCCTCCCACCTCCACTTGGAGGTAGCGCTGAGGGTAGTAAGGATGCAAAGTACTTTCAGTGGGGAATTTCAATCTCCACCATCAAAGGTGGCTCAGCAGCAATATTGATTGAGTCCTGAAGGACATTGCTTCTGGTATTGGTAGGAATGACCATTGCGCATGTGACAAAGTCCAGTCTTCACATTGAGGATACCATCCATTGTGTTATGTGGTGTTATCACCATATTAAATGGGGTTGACTTCAAACAGACCTAGCAATTCAGGACTGGGCATCCATGAGGCACTGTGAGCTGTTAACAGCAGCAGAATTGGATTCCAGCACAATCTGTAATTTCATGGCCTGCATATCACTTACTCAACCATTACCATCAAGCCAGGGGATCAACCCCAGTTCAATAGAGGGTGCAGGAGGGCATATCAGGAGCAGCGCAAGACATAGATAACAATGAGTTGTCAACCTGGTGGAGCTACCAAACAAGACTACTTGCATGCCAATCAGCAGCAGAAGGAGCAAGTGATAGACAGAGATATGCAATCCCACAAGCAACAGATCAGATCTAAGTTCTACAGTTCTGTCACATCCAGTTATAAATGGTGGTGGACAATTAAATGGCTCATTGGTGGAGGAGGACGCCCCACAAACATCCCCAATATCCCCAGTGATGGGGAAGCCCAGCACATTTGTGCAAACAATAAGGCTGAAGCGTTTTGTAACAATTCGGCTGCCTTTATACCTACGAACAGGGTCAGTCTATTCAGCCCAGTGAGCCTAGAATAGCATTCAGTGAGATCATGTCTGATCAGTATCCTAACTTTATCTGTCTGGCTTGTTTCCACAATCCCTTAATAACCTTGGATCCTATCACCATAAGGTCTCCGCATTATGAGTATTAATTGAGATAGCATCCATGTTTTCCCCATAGGATAGAGTTGCACACTTCTATCACCATTTGAAGAAGTGTTACCTAACTGCTTGCCTAACTAGCCTGCTTCTAATTTGAAGGTAATGTCCATTGTCGGAGAAACTCCCTTCAGTCATGGAAAAATATTTCCTCAAAACTAATAATTCCTTACAATATCCTGAAAGCCTCAATCAAATCGTCCCTTTATCTCCTGAATTCCAGGGAATTCTGGCCGAGTTTATAATATGCCTACTGATGTTTTAATGCTTGTAGCTGTAGTGACACTCCTTCCGAGGACAACATATCCTTCCTTGGGGGCAGTCCGCAGGACTAAGGTTGGTCTAACCGTGGTTTTGTACAGCCCTAGCAACATTTCCTCCCCTTTTATATTTGAGCCGTCCAGCTATAGGAAGATGATGGCTTTGTAAAAATGTCATTTGACTAGTAACCTGGAAGCCCAGCCCACTACAAACCCCACCATGGCGGCTGGTGTAATTGTAACCATAAAACTATTGTTAAAAACTCATCTGCTTCACCAAGGTCCTTTAGAGAAGGTAATTTGTACCTGCTGCTCTTGTCTTGCCCAGTGTGTGTGACTCCAAAAAGCAATGAGTGGGAAACAGATACTGATCTTGCGTGTAACACCTACGTCTCATTAAAGAATACGCAAAAACCTATGTTCCATTACAATTCTTCCCTAATTGAGTACTACCTTATAGTATTGTGTGTGTATGGATTCCAAATTTCTATTAGCCACCATAATTCCTTACTTACCACCACCTGAATCATTGTCGGATCAATCCTGATATGGTCCAAATTGGATTAAATAGAGGGATGCTGTGTAGGTGTACACAGTGGTGATGGTGGTGGTGGAGACATGGGCTACAGAGGTTCAAGAAGGCAGCTCACCACCCCCTTCTTGAAGGCAGTTTGTGATGGGCTCAGCCAGCGACACCCTCATCCCAAGAGTGAAGTTTGAAAACAAGGAGAGGTGTGGTATGTGTTCTTTGCACCTGTTGAAGCCATTCTTGTTGATGGGAGCGTCAGTGATCTGGATTTAGGAGCCAAGCAAACATAGTGAGAATTGGCTCACAACACACGAATTACAAACTACACGTGTGATAAATTCTAATGAAGATCTGACAGATGGTTGTGCAGCAAGACATACGGAGGCAAACAGGAAACTGGTGACAGGTATAGAAGAATGTGAAATAATACATTTGGAATTAAGATTAGGAAATGGGGATATACCTGTATAACGCTGAGTCTTGGTTTTAATCCAGGGATGTAGAATGTAACAGCAAGTGGCTAATAAACCTCACATAGTTCTGGTTACTACTTTAGGGAGGCTCTGCAGAGGGTTCAGGCCAGACCAGATAAAGATGACAGCTTCCCTTCCTTTAATGGACTATAGTAAACCAGACAGTTCTTTACAACAAAAAATAATAGCTTTATGGTCACCATAACTGAGACTAGCTTTCAATTCCAAAATTACTCATTGAATTTTAATTCCACCATCTGCCATGTTGGGATTTGAACCCACATTCCCAGCCTGGCCTCTGGATCACTGCTTCAGGGATATTATCACTACATCATCATCGTCCCCAGTGTGTTGAAAGGATAGACAGGCTGGGTCTCCTCTTTTGTTATTATAAGACTAAAGAGTGAGCTGATGTAGAGTTTTAAAATTATGGAAAAGGTTGGTAGCTTGAATGTAGAAGAAATATTTCCTTCTGTGGGGAAGAACATAACTAAAGGCCATTGCTATGACAGAGCCACCAAGAAATCCAACAGGGAATTCGGAAGGAATTTTTATCCCCAAAGGCTCATGAGAATGTGGAATTCGCTACTGCACTAAATTGTTGAAGTGAGTAGTGTAGATGTAGCAAGGGGAAGCTAGACAAGCATTTGAAGGGACCAGAATAGAGGTTTATGAAGATCTATTTTGTTGGGGGAAGATGGGAGAAGGCTCAATTGGAGCATAAACACTGGTTGAGTCTGATTGGCCATTTCTATGTCACATATCCTCTGTAATGCAGTCCTACTTAACAAATGAACTTATACAATTTCTTAGGCTACAGATGGAGTAATGTGCGTAGCTTTGGGCATCCCATTATAAACAGGATATGAAAGCTATTGGAAAGGTGCAGCTTGAATCTAGGGGATGGTGGGGCTCCCTCATTCCTGCAGGCCAATGGAAATGGAATGACCCCAATCATTTCTGTGATGCCACATTATTCCTTGTATCATGGCAACAATAAATCACCAGCCAACTAGTACTACAGTGTGCAAAGTCTTTCTGTGCCAGCTTAAATATTGTCCGAGTGGCACGAGTGAGATTCAGCGGAGCGTGTCAGCAGAGTAAGAATTAACACATTCTTTTGTCTCCCATTCCCTTTTATGAGCAAAGTCAATACTGCTGCCAGATAGTTTGTATTTTCCCATGCCCTTGGCTTCCATCTTAGTGTGTGATACTTTTTAATTCTTGTTACTTTGTTATTCCTTTATTTAGTTACTCAAGTCATTCTGTAGAGAAAAATATGTGGTATTGGCAAATATTTTGCAATGGTTCACTCATACAAGGCTAAAACAATTTATCTCATATTTTAGAGTGATGTAATCAAGATATTTATCCAGTCATAAAGTGCTTACTCTTATGACCGTGTTCTTCAAATTGAAGTTTAAACTTTCTTTTCTGTTTAGCAAAGAAACTGCCTTTGGTTTTGGAAAATATTCATGTTCAGCATCTGGAATATGATCAGGCATTGTGGGAAATACAGACATGGAATAACTGATACTAGCAGAACAGTTTGTGATCTGAATGTCTTTGAGACACTCAGAACCAATATGGGTTTTTAAAAGATAATTCTCTGCAGAAGGCTTGTGAAACCTCTGTTTCCACACGTGGGAAAATCCAAAACCAGAGTCATCAAAATAGAGGCAGTGACTCACTGAACCAGTTGAGATTTCAGGAGCATCCTGTTTATCCAGGGTGAATTTAGAATGTG